ATGAAACAAAATACCCCATAGGATAGAAAGGGTTTTATCAAATTTATTACCACGATGCTGGGATTCTGGCCTGCAAGTAGGTTTCTCACCTTCAACATTTAGAAAATATAAAATGATATGACTTGTAAAGCCTGACTCTAAAAGAAATTGCCATTAAGCCATGACAAAATTTTGGAAAAGGGAAATTACAAAGGAAAGAGAGAGAAATGAAGAGAGACAAAAGGCATTTTCTCGTTGCAACAACTCCATGTCTACCGAAGCACTTTAAGGTGTTTAAAGATGCTCCTCTCCTGAGAAACTCCTATTGGAGTTGTAGACCTATTAATGTACTTCAGGAACTGTCTCCAACTTTATAAAGCCTCAAATAGAGAAAGTTATGGAAATCTCATAGCAAGAATGAAGCCAAGGAATAATTGAAAATTGAATTTTTACTGTCCTCCCCTACCTCAACCTGGGTATCACTTTTGTGGTTACCCTTTCAGTACATGGCAAAAATTCTCAAAAATCTTGGGATTAAATGACGCTTTGGCCAACAGCTGTTCTCTCTTGAAAATTATGTTCCTTTAGGCAGTTGTCAGCCAAACTAGAATTGGACTGTTTAGCCTGTTTGTTCCCTCTCTTGGCTTTTCATGCTTTGTCTCTTCAAAGGATTTATTTGAAACCTTAACATGCTGATTTCTCTCTTGCTAAAACACCACACTGCATTGATAACTGGCAAGATTCTCTCTTCCAACCTGTGGTTCCCATTTTTCTTAGTAAGTTGCTAACAAGTGATCCAGATGCATGATCAGATTTAAGACTGTAACCCTATGCTTGGTGTGAAAGCAGTGTTATTTGACACTATTTTTTCTCACCATGTATTATGACACCAATTGAACTAATATGACTTTATCCTCCTTTTTTCTCAAATGAGTTACTTTTTAATATTTATTTTTAAGTTTCAGATCGACACAGTATCCTTATTTTACATTTATGTGGTGCTGAGGCTCAAACCCAGTGCCTTGTGCATGCTAGGCGAGCACTCTACCACTGAGCTACATCCTCAGCCCATCAAATGAATTCTTACCTGCATAATTTCTAGCAGAAAATTTTCTTACTCCCTTTAAAATAATTTTTATGGTAATCACTCACATTCCAATTAAAGGCATTTTCTCCTAAATGTAAAACTGTGAACATAGTGGTTTATTTTATGTATTCTTTTTCTTTTAAAAACAAGGTGGTAACAGTCTTTTGTGTTAGATGGGACAACAGGACAGTTGTTTATGATTAAAAAAAATCATTGCAAGAAACAGGGACAGAGAGACAGTGGTACCTTAATAATATAACCCTGTATGCATAAACTTAAGTAACTTAAACTTCAATTTAATTGAATTAAAACAACATGGTGAGACTATAATTAGTTGTATTCATTCAAAAACGTTATTTTTTGTAGGAGAATTTTAAAATAGTTATTTTCAGTAGAAAGGAGATAAAACTCAAAATAATTTAAAAAAGGATATGTGAATATATAAATAACTTTTATTCTGTGTATGTACATAAAGGACTTTTTAAAGTAGAAATTGTAAGATAAATTAAAATATTTGGAGCATTTTCTGTTCAAATTCTATTTATTTTTAGATGCATGCATTTTAAACTATTCTTTGGTAATAATAAGCAAATTGGAGAAAGTAATTGCAAGAATTTTTTTTTTTTCTTGTAGTGTTGGGGAATGAACTCAGGACCTTATGCCACTAGGCAGGTACTCTACTACACAGCTACATCTCTAACTCAGAAGTTTTTGAAACTGTTAAGTTGACTGAATTTTTCTAATATTTCTATGACTATTCTGTCATTTTTTCACTATAAATGAAAATTGACATGTAAACAAAAAGAAATGAGCTTCCTTCTTCAATAAACACGTTTTATTTTGTTTTGTTTACTTCCTATTGATTACATAAGCATTAATATAAGTTACATATTTTTAAGAATACAATACACACGTTTTACATTTCATTATCTGAAAACACTATAAATGTGTAGTAGAGAATATTTTCAAATTTCCAGTTTCAAAACAATTCATATGACACATACACCTTCTTTATGCCTTCCTGGAAACTCCACTGAAAGTTTAAAGGTAGTATCTAGAATAAATTCAATCAAAATTATATTTTATATTGGGAAAATACTACTTTAACTTTTGCTGAAGCAAGGGACCAATTAGATAAAACTATGTGGAGCTCCAAATGTTTGTTAGTTCAACAAGTTCAATTCAATTTCAGAAGAATCCTTTGAGGTCTTAGTTTAAATCTGAACTTGTGTCTTAGTAGATGAAAAAAAAAATACTTTATACTTCTTGAAGTGCCAAAAGAAAATAAGAGCATCTATTTTCTTCTTTGAAGAATTCAATGACAAACAGTAGGGCAAATGCTTTGCATAATGTATCTTAGTATAGATACTATGTATGACTTAAGTGCAAGACTGATAAATTTTGGTATCTATGGTAAGTGATCTAAAAAATTTTGAAAAAAAAAATTAAAGCATGTTTTCCATATAGCATTTTCTCACAAAAGTGCCCAAGGTCATATTTTTTATTTTCTCAATTTAACAGATTAGAAAATAGATAATAATTTCATAAAAATATTTTCTAATCAATGGAGAATACAAAGTTCAAAGGCAATTATATGAAAAATATTCAAAATACTTCTGGAATTGTTTTGTTTTACTTTGGTCTGGATATTGGGGATTACTTCAACTTACTACAAAAGTAGGTTTGGATTTTTAGCTTCTTTCTCGTTATTTACACATATGTACATGGTGGGACCCTCTGACTTCAATATTTTAATGTATTTCTGAACAATGAGTGAAAGACAGTAAAGAAGTGTATTTTTTTCACATAATAAATTTTAATTTCCTATCCCTGGATTTTTTTGTTTATTACAGTTAATGTTTAACAAATATGAAGAAATATTTATGTTTTAGATCCTCCCCTAGTATTATATTTAATACTTTTCTATTGTCAAAGTACTTTCACTTTGTATTATTATTATTATTTTCCTCTAGAGAATAATGTAATATTTCTACAGGTATAAATATTGCTTATAGACTAATACCAGAGAAAAACCCTTATCAACAATGTTTCCTTGTAGTTATTTAACAATGGTTATCACTAGTTCTGAGGATGCAAATCCAGTTCCATGTTTTAAGTTTGATAATCAGAATCTGTGTTGTCATTTAATTACAATAACTGAAGTTACTCTGATAGAGTGGCATTCTTTATGGAGTTGTGAAATAGAAATACACCAATAATATGAAGACCTCAAATATTTTGCAGTATGCTGCATTTTACTTAAATAATCTTTGTAAAAGTAAGACTTAAAAGTAATAACTAAACTTGATTAAATAAGAAGGCATTATTAGTAAAGATAAACTACATAAAATCTTCAATCAGTATTTAAAATTTATTTAACTTTATCAGCTGTTAGTGTTTGGCACAAAGCTATTCTAGTAATAATTATTATGACATTGTTAAATATTTAACTGTAATTTATCCAGTTTGAATTTTGATGTGTATCCTTATGAACATTCTGACTTGTTCTTCAAATGAATCTTTGCACTCCAAATGTTCCTGGACTCGTTGATGGCTTCTAAAGTATAAATTTTTCATTTCATATATTTTTCTCCTGTGCACCTAAAAAATTAACAGATGCATGATCTATGATGTCGTAGATTGTATTTGTGGTACATAAATAACTGGTAGATATTCTTACTAAGTTGCTGCATGTCTTTCTCTGTCCTCTTTCTAGCATATATATCAACAACTTGCTGACCGAGTAGTAATACTAAGTACTTTAAAATTATTAACTCCATCAATAAATGCTGAGTTTTAAGGAACTCCCTCCCACCCATACCTGTAATCCAACAGAAAGCTTCACTGAAACTCTCCAGTATTCCAAGCAGAACTATTTGTGACCCAAAATATGCATATGAGAAGGATACTTAGAGTTACAAAAAAGTTTGCTGCTATTTTCTCTACTTGTACATGGTCTTTGACCAAATTTACATTAGCACAGCTTTTCCACTAAATTAATTGATGGAAACTAAAGAAGGTACTGAAGCAAGAAGAGCCCAAGGAACTGTATAATCTGGGACAAAAGAATGCACTTGAAAGCATTTTACTTCTATCTTCTATTCATTCTGATGAAGTTCAACTCGTATACAAAGTATAAAAAAGCAGTTTATAATCTTTTTATGAGTTTGCATGAGTGACTAGAGAACAAAGAGCAGGTAGTCATATTACATGGAGAAAATTTTTGTCACTGAAAATATAAATTTTCCATAATAATTCAGTATTTACCTTAATTAGGGAAATGATGTAAATGATAAACACAAATATAAATATATATGTAAAAAAAAAAATATATATATATATATATATATATTTGTGTTTATCATTTATATATATATATATATATATATATATATATATATATATATGTACTTGCCTTTCTTCTACCATTTATTATAGTCTATAACACTTGTACATTTTAGAGCACGTAGCTCACTAATATTTTTCCAAGTTTCCTATTGCTCCATACCAGCTTTTGTTGAGTTTGTAATTCATGTTCTTGACTGGCCCACATTTACAACAGAAAAACCTGTCCTGAACTTTTCTTTTTTTAACCAAATAGAATCTTATGGTACAGAGTCATAGCTGCAAAGTAGAATTTTATTCTCGAATTTCCTAGGAAATAGTGTAACTGTACAATGTGAGATTATGCAAATCCTTAAGGAGCATCTAATCAATCACGGTGGTGTGAGAGGAATGCAGCCGATCGCTGAATTTGCTTCTGTTGGAATGTATTCATGTGTAACATCCCACTGACTGGATGACATCACAACAGCTCCAGGTCCTTGAAAGTCTTGAGGATGATTAGCTGAAGGAATTGGCTGTTTCTGCCAATCATAATCCAGCAGAGCTGCCTTTATAGTTCTGGAGATATGAGAGAAAGAGGGAGGGAGGGAAAGACCGACTCCAGCTAAACAAGAGGCACAGCAGCAGTAGCAACAGCAGAGCAGGAGCAGCTGGTATTCCGGTGATTAAATAGTTCTCATAGCCTTTTTGCTGTACCCGGTCTGCTCCCTGGTGTAATTCTCCTGTCCAAGAAGGAAGCTGCATTTTAACGGTGTGCTGAACAGAGGTTTGAATCATTCCAGCTGGCTGCTTGTTTTGAAAAGGACAATGTGTGTATAAATAAAAAGACTCTGCTGGAAGAGTTCACATACTAGGACTGGAGCTAATGAGTGCTCTCGGAATATTGTTGAGGCAGATTGTATGAACTGAAAGCTCCTTCTAATTAACCTGGAGCCAAGTGAACCTGAATGCTGGATATCTCATTCTCTAACTCGGGATAAATTCAAGTTAGGAAAAGAAAAAAATAATTGAAATGCTTCTCTAGGTAAGTTGCTGCTTATTTGTTGAAATCGAGGCGTGTACAATAAATGGATGTATGTTGCTTAGCTACGTAAACAAGTTGAACACAATAAAGTTTTATTTGTGAAAGATTTATGTAGGGGCAGAAAATATTTTTAAACCAAATTCAATCTCACTTTTTGGCATGTATGTACTTACCTGTCATTATGCTTTGTAGAAGTTATGTTCGTACTCTAAGTGCAATATACAGTCCTCTCTCAGAAGAGATGGAACTTGAAATATCATAAACAGTTGCCAGAACATTTGCACACACACACACACAAAAAAAAAAAAATCCTCACTTGATATCAATTTTAGCCTTTTCATATTGAAATCAACAATTTTACAAACTCAACATCCAAAGCTAACTGAGGGGTTATAAATGTTCCCTGAGAAGTAAGTGTTCCTGAGAACATCATATTTGAATTACCCAAGATGAGAACTCTTTTTCTTGGGACCTAAGATTTATAAGTATGCTCTGTCCTAATGGTCTGCTTTAGAGAAACAGCTGTCACAGACATTTGAAATTGTGCAATACAGCCATAAATTGTTTATAAAGAAATAGGTGCTTTCCTCCTAGCTCCTGTTAGGAAAGAAACATACATTTTAAGAATAATATATGTCATATGCCATAAGCATACACTACAAGGGGGATAGAAACAGCTTTGTGGTATACTTGTAAATACCTTCAAATTCCTGGTGTACAAGTTGTAAAACAGGAAACAGTATTTAAATATGGCTGTATTCACCCTTTCCAATACCAGTATCATGGGAAGTTTAATAAAAAGGAAACGTAAACCTTATATTCCTCATAATTTGTCTTGATTAATAAAATACTGCATTTTTCATTTTACACAATTACTGTAATAGTATTTAGAATTGTTGACCTGCTTTGTTCAACATGACAGGTTGTACTGTAAATTCTCATGTAGTTCTGAGCAAGTCTGAACAGTTCATACTTTATCAAATCTCTTTCAAACTCACCTTTGCTTGCTTTCACAGAGCCTTCTATCAGTGCATTTTTCATTAACTCAGGATCATACATATTTAAAGTTTTCTGCATACCAAGATATGGGTATGTTTCTATAGCTCATGGAGATTTCAATTATCTACTTTCTTATCAACTTGTTACTTGAAATACTATAGGTTCTTGTTAAAATTGATGGAGACAAAAGTTAACTGTAATTGATTGAATCTCACCAAAGCTAGGAGGCAATGTATTTTCCCTACAAAGATTTAAAAGTATTTTTTTTCATATTAGAAGAATAATTTTACTCCCTTTTATTAAAATTGTGCCAATTAGATACATCCAAATGATAGTGGGGTGCTATGTTGGTCATGATTATTTTTTGTAAGGCAAATGAATGTAGAGAATATAAAGTCCACTGACCAGAAAGTCTAAGTTTCTTACTGAAATATGCTTATCCTTACATTTATCTCAGTATTAACTAAGGATATAAATGTACTATGATTGTTGACATTTTTCAAATAAAGGATCTTCTACCTAATGAGGATTAGCATGCAATGGCATTTACATTGATAGATATCTATAATTAATTAATGGGGAAGATTTTTGGAAACTGAACGTTAGACAGAACAGCTCTTTTTAACTCAATCTGAATGATAGCCGATCACCCCCAAGACTGATGCATAGAAAACTCTTTGTGAATGTTGTAATGTATATGACTTATTAAATATACTATGAAAAATCACTGTTAAAGGGGAAATATTGATGAAACTCAGACCTCATTCTTAAATAAATGGAAAATAAAATCTCATGGTAATCTTATTACATGTTTTCTTGTTAATCAATGAGAAAATATCTGAATATAAACATAAAATCATAACTTGAAATGTTTATATTTGATATTAAAATATAAATATATATATTCACCTCAGAAAATATCTTCCATATGAGTATTAAAACTACATGCCTATTTAATACCTATTGTTCTTCTCCCTAAAAAGCATTCTGTAATTGTTTTGTTTTGTTTTTCAGAAAATTCACTTTCTTAATTTACTCTCAACACTAACATTAGTTCTTAAATATATCAGATAAGTGTTGAAAAACAGTTGTCCCCAAAAGGAATAATGTATATATGATCTCCTTGCACTTTCTGCTTGAGTGGAAAAGGAACCTTTGAGAATAAAATCCAAAGATCAAAGTTTCTGTGTTTCATTTAGTAGGAACTACTCAGGGAGAACAGAAAAGCATTTAGCATACTGTGTTCAAACTAGAAGATTCTGGCTGGTGCTGCCTCCCCAGATTTGGAAAGCAGCTGGGGAAACTTATAAAATAAAGCTAGAATATCAACCCTGGCAGGAAGCCAAGACTGAGAAGCTGTGCACCCAGAAGGCTAATTCTTTCTGGGCTGAAACTCATTGATAATGCATTATGTTTTAAGTCTAACCTGAAGTGTTACTTTTTTCCCCCAGTACATACTGTGGGATATTTAAAGAGCAAATATATTTTCAGAGTAGAGAAAAATTCTAAAGTAACAAATGTTTCTTCTTTATTAAAAGTTTCCCTAATGGGAAAAAAAGAAGCTTGTAGAAACCCCTATAAAATACATTTTATGCTCAGGAGGAAAAATGAAAGAAAGATGAGCTGCACCATCATCTTGGAGAAGGAGAATAGAAATGCCACATATGAATGCATGCCAAAATAGAGGAATGTTTTGTTGAAGCAATTGGCCCAGTAAAATTTACAGTGAAAGTAGACATACTAAATACTGTGTTAGTCTATAGATCTCGTGACACTAGACAACAAAAGGGAGAGTACACTCTCATTTATTATGTATTCCAAATAACTAGGAAAAAGAGAATCCATGTTGTCTGTTGATTTATTTAAGTTCACAAAGTGAGAGGAATGGTCAGGTGTCAGACACAATGCCACTGCCTTAGACATCACGTATAACAGTTAGCCAGCCTTTTCTTAACACTTCAGGAAACTTTCAGCTATGCTGTTATACAGAGTGTTAAATGCTTTCTCCTTTTTAGTTATTTTCAGCAAGCTTCAACAGTTAGAGGTGCCAATGGCAATGCAGAACTTACACACACATAGCCCTGTTTCCAAGCTTTCTTTATCACAGTTTTCTAAGGAATGCTATCACATTCTTGAGTTGATAAATCTAAAATTTCTTTTAGAGATAATATTGAATTGATAACATATCTTTCCCAAATCCAAAATACACCAATAATGAATTTCAGTCTTATTAAAACTTCAGGCATGTCAAGACAAATAGATGTTTTTGCAATGTGAGTGGTAACTTTCCTCTCCATTCTTACTGGAAAAAAAGTTTGTGATATAACTTGATGCATTTATGTTCTTTACCTTGTTACAGTATGTCACATTCATGAGTATCCAGATAATTCAAGCCATAACACAGGTTGTAGCAAAATAACCTGCATATTTACAAACTAAATAATGCCTTTCAAGCTACTCAATAAGTAATTTATACACACACACACACACACACACACACTACACATACATACATGACACCATAGAAATAGCCTCTCAGAAGATATACTTTCAGAACACTAAATGAATAATCAGAATTAACTAGTTGAAAGTAAAGAAGTATCTGAGGAAATTGAAGGGTTAAAAGTGACTTTGGTTGGATGCTTGAGGATATAATTTGATATATTCAGAGTATTTGAGAAAAAAGCATAACAACACTGTTAACTTTTCTTTTACTCTTCTTGAAAACTATTGTTTCATTTCAAGAATTCAAAAAGAAAAGTAAATTTTAGCAACCTAACACACAAACACACACAACACACGTACTTTTACACAAAATACACTCATGTGTACTTTTTTTGGGGGGGTGTCCCCAAATTAGAAGAATTCCCCTAATTTGAACATATAACCATCAGTTCAACTCATGTGGGCTTTATTAAAATATTTACCCTCCTCATTAAAAGTATTTAATGATATTTATCTTCAACATTAGCCATATGGATGTTGAAGGTCAGCTGGCCTAGTTTGGTACGTACAAGTAAAAAGTAAATGTAGAAATATTTTCTCACTCTCTCTTTATCTCTTTTCCATTCCTTTTCCTTTTTTTCTCTTATCTTCCTCTTTTCCCCCTTTTCTCTATCCTTTCTTCCTTCATTCACTTCTTTTCTCTCTCCCTTCCTTTCCCCCTTACTCTTTCCTTTCTTCCTTCTCTCTCTCTCCTTCTATTTTCTAATTTATTTTTGCCATTTCAGTGTTTTGATGTTCTCTTGTGGGTCTGGTGAGCAAACCATTCATGTTTAGAATGGTAGCAATTATGAATATCATGGCGTGCTTTCAATGCAGAGTATGTGGGAAATGCATGGGGAAACTAGGTTGGAGTGCACTGAGCTATAAAGAAAAAGGAAGGTACAGTGCAAAATACATGTTAGAAAAGTAGTGCCACAACTCTGAGGGTTTCGTCTGCTCTCCACCTATGAAGTACAATTCTATTTACTAAACTCTTTACATAGAGTCCTTTGTGCTCTTTGCTTATGCTCCCCTGAAATTATCTTTCACATCTTTTCCATGCAGCATTGGCCATGTAGAATAAAATTAAATAATAATAATAGTAATAAATATACATAATCCTTAAGCTTGTATTTTAAACCCCCTAAACCATTTTTATATTTAGTAGTTTAAACATAGTAACATTCATATGCAGCCCAAAGGCCAACTGCCATGCTAATGGAAGAAAAAGAGAGAAGGGAAAGCTATTTTGCACGTTTAGATGCTTTGGCTTGACTCCATTCCTGAATCAGAAATTCAATTGTAGACTGCTGATCCACAGAATTTGTCATATTTCATCAGACATCTCAAAAGAGTTCTTCTTGATGCACTGAATAGTCTTTCACGCCTACATAAAAATCATTTAAACCTCAGAAATAAATATAGCGACACTAAAGATTAATACAAGGAAAGGAAACAGATGCAGAGATGCATATGCTCCTGTGAATGCATATAAAAGTCCTAATTCTATTCATTAC